GAAGGTAAAAAAACTACATGTACATGTACATGTAGGTACATGTAGACTGCATATGCCTTTTCAGGCACATTATCACCCACTCTTGAAAAAAAGTCAGGTCTGGTTTTTGATGGAAATCAGAGGTACTAGTATGGTACACATGTACAGTACATTGATCAAAACAAGCAATAACTAATCCAGGTTCCAGACTTCCCCTTTAAGGTGGCATGGCAAACTTTTGTAAGGTCAGTGAGGTCAAAAGAAACTAGAGACTGATGGGAATAGAACCAATGTTTTCATTCTTACTCTCTGGCATGCCAGAGGTTGGGCCTGGCCAGCCAGTGAGGGTAAAGTAGCCAAGTGCTTTGGTGTGGGTGAGGCCCGCTCTCATCATCTGCATTAAACCTCCATACATGTAGCTGCCTCCAGTTATCAGTAATGCATGAGATTACAAAATAAATATTTAATAATGGAACACACTGGTCATTACATTTTTGCAGGCATAGATATGCATGCAGAGGACAACTTCCTTGTTCTTGAGTCTGGTCCAAGTTAATTATTGGCTCTCTGGCTCTAAATGTTCTCTTAACCTAATGTAAATGTACAGTGCTTGCATACATCTGTGAACACATATGTACAATGTACTGGTAAGAACCAATAAGTGTTGGAAAATATCATGACTTTGTACAGCTGTACCTACTGATCACCATGCTTGATCTAATCGACTTTGTTTGTATGTACATATAGTCTCCAATGCACTTTGAGAAATTCTAGTGCCTGATGAATGGTCCATGAGTGCATACATGCCTGAGTTCAAGGTGGTCTGGTTGTATTGTAAGCACATTTTACAACATACAATGTACAGCATGAAAATCAAAATGTAGAAAATCATTCCATTGGACTCAACAACCATCTGTGACCCTGGTAGGCTTTCAAATCACAGCTATTTCGACCTGCATAAATACACATAACCCAGATGATGTCACGTGATGCGCCATTTGACAATATCAAAAGGAAGTGATTGGGAAAGCGCATTTTAGTTGCTGAGTGTACAACACTCCAAAGGCTGCATCTGTAGACACAATCTAAAAAAGCAAGCGGGCTGTTGATGGATTTGTCACGTATACATGTACATTGTACACAGAGAGTTGTTGGCCCAGTTTCAAAAAGCTAGTGATATTCAAATACATTGGTCTGCCCAACCCAGGGAGATGTGCTTAAAATGGTGTGAAGCAAAAATCACATCAACTGAAATTCTCCATTACATGAACACATGTACATGTCCGTTGTACTGCGTGTGTTCTGATGTATACTGTTTTGGGGGAGGGAGTCTGAAAATCTACATGTAGCAACACGAATGCCATGTACTTTCATGAGCTTAAATAATTCTTTTTGTTGCACTACATGACCCTACCAACTAATACACAGCATACAGCGCATGTGTTTGAGAAATTTGGCAGTTTTGAATTATACCGACTAGTAGCTGAATATAACTGCCCAAAACATTAACTTCTTACTTTTTTTCAAATTTTCTTCAAATTGTTATTTATGTAAAACTACATGTACATGAGCAATGCTGCAGCAGATGCATAATGGTAAATTAATTTCTCTGTTTATTCATTAAGCTTTTTACAAATATGCTGGTTCAGTCAAGCCAAATTCTTTACAATTACAATTAATGCAATCATGTAGCTTTTTACAAGTACTGTACATATGACATACACTGTACATGTACTTTCAAGTATTTCACTTTGTCATTAATACCGGTACATGTACATGGTTGTTATCAATCACTGCAAGTACTCTGTCTGCAAAAGCAAGTTTATTAGTTTAGGGGGAAGGTTTAATCACTTTTTCGGCAAAAAAGTTTTCATGTACCGTGAGTGAAACCAAAGTTAACATAAAAGACTGCAAAGAAATGCAAAGGGGGAGGGGATGACTTCAACCACTTCTGTTTTTAAATGACAAGCAATCAGAAGACAATATGTAATTTCCCTTCCATCTGACTACTGATCTTACTGAAGTCAGTGCCACATGTAGCTGGATCAACTCATTTAGCAGTGCGTATTAAAATCAACTAAAATGACCCAAAAGCAAACAAGCAAGCAACAAACAAAC